CTGGTTACGTCGTCCCTCTGCCTTTACTGGCACTTTCCCTCCTGGGACCCAGTGGAGGCTTAGGCGACCGGTTTACGGTCTCCGTCAGGCTCCTCGTGAGTAGCACGACACCCTTCGCTCTACCCTTTCTGATCTTGGTTTCCAGCCTTCTTCTGCCGACCCATCGCTGTTCGTTCGTCGTGGCTCCACACCGTTCTTTGTACTGGTCTACGTCGACAACTTGGTTTTCGCCACTGCTGACAGGGTTGCTTTGGCTGACGTGAAGCTAGAACTACAGAAGAGACACAGCTGCACCGACCTTGGTGAGCTGCGCCACTACCTTGGCCTGCAGATCAACAGGGACAGAGCTGCTCGCACCATTACACTCTCACAGTCACACATGGTGCAGCAGGTCCTTCAGCAGTTCGAGCTTCAGCACTCTACTGTATAGTGCACACCTCTTGCCGTTGACCACAAACTCACCGGACCCTTTCTTGACGATCCGTTCGAGCCTAGTGGTCCTTACGCAGAACTTGTGAGCTGCCTCATGTACCAGATGACTTATACTCGCTCGGACCTCGCCTTCCCTCTCAGCATCCTTGCTCGCTTTGTTACGCCAGGGAACACCGTCCAGTTCTCTGGACAGCTGCTGTGAGGGTGGCGAGGTACCTAGCGACGACATCAGGCGTGGGGCTGGTTTTTGGAGGGAGACAGGACGTCGTGCTTACTGGTCACTGTGACTCTTTCTTACGCTGACGACGCCGACACGCACAGGTCTACTCAGGGGTACTGTTTCAGCCTGGGCTCTGGAGCTGTTTCGTGGAGGTCCACATGCTCCTCCTCGGTCTTGATCTCTACTGCTGAGGCCGAGATCTACGCTGGAGCTATGGCTGCACAGGAGCTGCGCTGGCTGACGTTATTGCTCACTGACCTTAGTGAGCGGCCGAGTTCTGCGCCGACCTTGTTCACTAATAACAAGGCGACGATTCTCGTCTATCGAGAGCCGCGACTGGAGAGCAGAGTGAAGCACATTAACGTCATGTACTTTCTTCTGTGAGAGTTGCAGAGGCGTGGACAGGCTCGTTTCGACTTTGTTGAGTCCGAGGCCAACACTGCATACATCTTCACCAAGGCCCTACTGCCTTTTGACCACCGGAGGTGTTGTGTGCAGTTAGGTCTTGTTGACACAGGTTCTCGCCTTGCATAGTCTTGAGTTCTCTCCTTGCTTTGTTTATACACTTTACATATACCTCTATGAACTCTTGAACTAGCCTTGTGGCTCTTTTGCTTGTGCTCGGAGTGTGTGGTGACGTTGTGATCCACCCTGAGCTTTGTTTCTTTGTGATTGGTGTTGTGACCGTACACTTTTGGTTTTGCTTGACACCCCTCACTTAGACTATGGGGGTGTGTCAAATGTTGTAGTCTTAGTGATGTGTGTAATAGGCAGCGCCCATGCTAGGAATTGGGGCACCCTGAGGTCTCAGGGCACTTTTCTAAAATCTTAAAAAATGCCCTGATTTGTCAGGGCAAAATTTCAAAGCCTTCCTATACGTTCAGGGCTTCTGCATACATTAATCCTGGCCTGTCAGGGCAAAAAAATATGTGTTCAGGGTTCATATTTCAGCACAGACCAGACCACACTCTGCTGAGTGGTACACCCCCCCCCCCCCCCCCCCCCCCCCCCCCCCCCCCCCCCCCCCTCCCCCCTCCTCCTAAAAACAAAAACGCGTCAGGGCAAGCCTCGACATTCATCCTAACGCTACAGGGAAGAACACCACAGCCATTCTGATTTTCCAGGGCATTTCATATAATAACATCTTGAGAGCTCAGGGTTAAAGTGGCACTATTCTGAAATTACATGGCAAATTCAAATACCGTATGCATCTTGAATTCAGGGTAATCAGGATGTTTTGCCCTGATATCGTGGGGCCTGGTTATAGGGATAACAATTGTTAGGGTTAGGTTTATGTACCCCAACCAACCTTAGTGAAACCAACACTTTCATTCTTGACACGAGGTTCCCTCATAGCTAGTCTAGCCACTACATTAGCGTGTGCCTTCATTGCATGCCCAGCCTGTTGAATCACGATCTCGTTATTCGTTAATTTGCGCACTCTCCTTTACAACGCATAACAACAACCTCGAGTAAAAATGCAGACATACCACCACCACAACCGTAACAAGTCCCAATGGAATAAACGTATGTGTACGTAAGACTGATACAGTATTGAAAACAAGTGTGTGCATATTGAATGTACGGCATGAACATCAAATACAGTTCTCAGCAACCTTTTTTAATATTCCTAATACCGTATCACCCCGGATATAAGCGCACCTGCGCTTATAATAAAACATGATTTTTCAGGGGGGTGCACTTATAATTGAGTAAAAAATATAAGCACATGCGCTTATAAAATAACAAATATACAATTTTAAACTACTAGCTTGAAAATGTAGTTCGCGTCATTGCACACCCAATCGAGTCGATTTGAAACAGGGTTGTGGGTGAAAAACTCTCGCTACTTGGCAGGGGAAGATTCCCTGCCATCACATACAGTCAAAATGAGTCACTAGGAGCTTCTGACAGCACTTGCTGACTGGACGCGCAGCCTGTGCAGGGTTTGAATGCGAAGGAAATCTGATTTTCATCTCATCGCCTCCTGAAGTGAACTTCGTTACAGTGATTTGACAGTTTTTCAAATTTAAATCTAACATGCGCTTATAGTAAATCATGTTTTTAAATGGGGTGCACTTATAATTGAGGATCAGGCAGAAGCGCATTGCTCCAGATAGAAGCGCATGCACTCTCAATAGGCCTGCGCTTTTATCCAGGGTGATACGGTACAACTATGGGCACTTGGAAGTTTCATTGTTTGATTTTGAAGTGAAGACTTGGGTGGAGGCCAGATGATTCCCAACACCCCCCCAAAGTAGTTGGGCTCCTCACTGTCAGAATATTATGTTTCTCTAGTCTGCAGTGGGGTACTCTGTAGTGAGTACAGCCCTGTTAGGGTTTGCTATATGTATCCCAATGTTTGCTAGTGATCCCCTTTCCATTCATTCCTGTTTCTTCACATGGTATAGAGCTGGTTCGAATTTTTCCTAAGGGCCCACCACTAAACTTATTTTTTTTTCCTCACCTGCCCGAAGCGCCCTTCGCGCTCGGCCTGCCCTACCCTTTCGCGGCCCCTTAGCGGCCTGCCCTGCCCCTTAGCGGCCCCTTCGCGGCCCCGTCACTGCCCCGTCGCGGCCCTGACCCGTCGCCTGTCGCGGTCCTGTCGCGGCCCCGTCGCGACCCCGTCGCGGCCCCGCCCCGGCCCTGCCCCGTAGCCTGTCGCGGCCCCGTCGCGACCTCGTCGCGGTCCCGCCCTGGCCCTGCCCCGTTGCCTGTCGCGGCCCCGTCGCGGCCCCGTAGCGGCCCTGCCCCGGCCCTGCCCCGTCGCCTGTCGCGGCCCCGTCGCGGCCCCGTCGAGGCCCCGCCCCGGCCATGCCCCATCACCTGTCGCGGCTCACCGGGGACCCGCGCACTGCCCCCCCCCTCTTTTCCCGTCGCCTGTTGAGGCGACCTGGGGGGGGGGGGCGCGCGTCGCCCCTTCTTCCGCCTGTTCTGGCGCCCTGGGAGGCCGCGCGTCGGCCCCCGTAATCCTCCCCCCCCCCGTAATCCTCCCCCCCCCCCCCCCCCCCCCGTAACCTCCCTACCCGCCATCCCGCCCTGCCCTGTGTTAGGGTTTGGGGGTGGCGAGTAGGGGGTGGCGGGTGTGTGGACTCCCCTGCTCCTCCTCCTCCTCTGTCTCCCACTGCTGCAGCTGCCGCTGAGGGGGGTGGATGTGTGGGAGCCAAAGGAGTGGTGCTAGGGGGTGGGGTGTGAGTGAACCTAGGGTGCAGCAAGGGGTGTGTGAAAGGGGGGTGGGATAGTTTGGGGAGGTTGAAGGGGGGTGGCCGCCGTGAAGCCCGCAGCTCCAGTCGCCCGTGAGACCGTTGCGCCAGTCGCCCGTGAGCCCGTTGCGCCAGTCGCCCGTGAGCCAGTTGCTCCAGTCGCCCGTGAGTCCGTTGCTCCTGCCGCTCAGAGTTAGTCGCGGAGCCAGTTACTCCAGTAGCCCGTGTGCCAGTTGCTCCAGTTGCCAGTGTGCCAGTTGCTCCAGTTGCCTGTGTGCCAGTTGCTCCAGTTGCGCCGTGTGCCAGCAGCTTCAGCTGCCGCCCACTACCTCCTCTCCTCTCATAGTCCCTCCTCCTCCACACTTGCCCTCTGCGATAACCTCTAGCTTTGCTTACATTTGTGAACTTTAAACTGTTGCTTCTTGTACTTGTGCTCAGAATGTGTGGTGATATTGTGATCCACCCTGAGCTTGCTTTGCTTTGCTTGTTGTGCTGATCATACCCCACTTTGACTATGGGGGTGTGTCAGAATATTATGTTTCTCTAGTCTGCAATGGGGTACTCTGTAGTGAGTACAGCCCTGTTAGGGTTTGCTATATGTATCCCAATGTTTGCTAGTGATCCCCTTTCCATTCATTCCTGTTTCTTCACACTCACCTCTCCATGGATGTTTTGGACACATGCATGGTACACCTTCTGAAATTGTTTTTTTTTCAAGGTTTATCGCCGTACTGCATCCATGATGTAAGGTAACTTAAGAAGTATAAACCAGCAGGCTGCATCCAGCATCAGCCTACTCGCACATGCCGCGGCAGCACAACAATTGGCCAATGCACCAGCACCATTCTCCCTGTCCGCTGCCTTTTATTTCCATAACTGCCTAAGTTTGAAGCAGCAGAGTTTGCATGATGAGCCGCAGCTCACCCCTCAGCAACTTCCGCAACCACTCCGCAAACCCATTGCTCACCCCCCCCTCCCCCCTTTCTCACCCCCCCCCACCAAATCAGCGCCATGGCTTCACGATAAACTTCAAAAAGATTCCACGAGAAAAACAACAGCTTGCAACAGCTCACAAGTCTCGCTCAGCTGCACTCAGAAGCCACGTTCCCATGGCTTGCTGCCGAGCCCCGGCCCCATGCTCTCTCTCACGCGCATGTGTTCTGCACCGTGGTGCACCCCTGCTCGTCATCCAGGCAGTTCCCTGTCACCAGTAGCTTTGCCGGGCGCGCATTCGGGCAGATGCCCTTCACGCGTGGCGGCCCCGTGAACAAGTTGTTTCGGGCATCCAGAAAGAACTTGCCATTGGCGCCAAGGTAAGGCTGGGGCAGCGGGCCGGTTAACTGGTTATTAGCGAGCACGAGGCGCAGCAGGAAGGAGAGGACGTTGAGGCTGTCTGGAAGATCGCCCGCGAGGCCATTGTTGCTCAGATCCAGCGCTGTTAGATTCACCAGGGATCCAATTTCATCAGGAACTGCATCGCTGAGGGTGTTGTTCTGCAGCTGCAGCGTCTTGAGGTTGGAAAGGCCACTGACCTCTGCAGGAATTGAACCCGTGATCTCGTTAAACCCCAGGTTCAGCGCCTCCAGGCTTGGAAGTCCGCTCCAGCTGACGTCAGCCAGCGCGATGCTGAGCTGGTTGTTGGCCAGGTTGAGCTGGCGCAGGTCGCTCATGAGGGAGATTTCGGTCGGGAGGGAAGTGATGAGATTGGACGAGAGGTCCAGCGTGTCAACCGTGGCGGAAGACGCGGGAAGGTGGCTGGAATGTCCGAGAACAGGTTCCCCGAGGCCGTGAAGGTGAGCGCGCCAGACGCGAGCTCGGGAAGCGCGGCGGGGAGGGCAGTGAAGAAGCAACGGTCCAGTTGGCCAAACTGCAGCTTCGTCAGACTCGAGAACTCGTCCGGGGTTGGTCCGGAGAAGTACGAGTCGCTGACGTTGAGAGCCACTAGGTTGACCAATCCGCTGATGGCTGGCGGAAGCGCGCCGCGGAGGAGCGTCTTGGAAACGTCGAGGAAGGTGAGCTTGGTGAGCGTCCAGATCTGATTCGTTCCGCCGTAGAACGTGTTGTTGCTCAGGTCGAGGCGCTTCAGCTTAGGCAGCTTCGATAGGTACCACGGAATCGGGGCGACGATCTCGTTGTTAGAGAGGATGAGCGTGTCGAGATTGGTGAGATTAGTGAGCGCGATGGGGATTCCCGCGGTCTTCCAGCGCATGCTGGCGGAAGTGAAGTTGAGGCGGAGCACGTCCCCCGCGGAGGTGCACGTCACGCGCAGCCAATTCGCGCAGGGCTTCCCCGCGCCCCACGTGCTGCTCCCCGTGAAGTATCCGAAGGCCGTTTTGAGGCTCAAAAGCGCCGACTCCTGCGGCGGTTTGATGGTCTGCGCGCGTGCAGGGCTGCTACCGGAGAGGCCAATAACGAGGAAAGCGGATAGCAGCAGGAGAAGGGTGAAGCGATGACTGTTCCCATGGGAATACGAGATTCTGTCGCTACTGCCGCGTGAACGCTTCATGGCTAAGGGGAGGGTTCGTCGGCGCGAGAGACTAAGAGAAGTACCGTAGTAGCAAGTTTGTCGAAGCTAGTAGGTCACGCAAACTCTTTGTGAAGTCTTATACATGAACACAGCCTGTTATATAAATGGATTTGCGTAAGGTGAAAACAGAGAAGCGATAGTGGAACGGGTGGAAGTGGCCGCTCAGAGAGAAGCGGTGGCTTTTGTGATTGTACGGCACGCTGTTAGGAGGTGGGCGGCGGGGCCTGATGGCGTGCGAGACAAGTGGATGCGCGAGCGGCGCTGCGGAGGGCGCGTTGAAAGTGACGGTTTTTGTCCACCCATCACAACAAGTCATGTAAAGGAGGGAATGACGAACCGCCCTGGTTTCGGGTTTCCGATTCCTTTCGGCAGTGGTTTTTGTTGCAGTGAACTGTGGCTGCTGCTCGCGTGGCACCAGGATGGCGGGAAATTTTTCACGTGGCGAAATTTTTCGCCGCAATTTCCCCGTCAGCCAAAATCCGAATATGCAAAAGGCATCTTGCAAAAATGCCCACTCGCCACCACACCCTTCCTATCTCCAGACAGCAAAACCTACCAATCAAAACCTATCAATCCTCCACCTCAACTCTCCTCCTATCCTCATCATCTTTCTCATCCCATTATCCACCAATCAAACAAAAGATTCCATACCAAGCCTTCCAATCCAAGCCACATTCATTCCACTCACCAAGCCTTAAAATCAAAGCCAAATACATCCCATTCACCAAGCCTTAACTTCAAGGCCACATTCATTCTCTTCACCAAGCCTTCACTTCAAAGCCACATTCATCACCCCCATCTTATCCAACTCAACCAATCACAACCATTCATCCTTTCCTCATCCTTCATCCAACATCAAGCTCCACCAAATACAAAAGGGTCCTCTTCATTTCTTCAAACATATATTCTTCAATGCTACTTCATACCCAAACTCTCAACAAGTTCTTCAAGCTCCCTCAAGGCCAACCTCAAGTCCTCCTCCTTATGCTCTAGCTCCTAAGGCTTCATCATCACCACCAACCTCTCCCAACCCAAGCTCATAGCCATATGCTCCAATTCTAGAGAAGTTTGTGCCACATAGTTTTACTTCTAGATCATTAAGGATAGTTGATCTCAAGATCCTACCATGTACCTCATTTTGATTAATGTACTTTAAAGCTTCAAGCAAGATTGGTGTATTCTTCTACCCAAGGTCCAAGCTCCAACCTCAACATCCAAGCTTGGAGGCTTCTCTTCATTCAACAAACATTATCTACAAGTCAACATTCAATATCAACTTCTCAACATTCAAGCTTTGAGGTTCTTCATTGACAACTAAGACAACATTTAAGCTTGAAGTGAAGATCAACTTCTACAACATAATAGTAAGAACTCTTTTCAAGTAAGTGGTTATCTCTTCCTCTCATTTTTCACCAAGTTTCTTGTACATCAAAGTTCATTTGCTATTATCAAGTTGTTTTATATTCAAGCTCTTTCCATAATAATCAAGTTCTTATTTTCAAGTTCGTTACAAGCTCCCTTCAAGTATCTTTCAAGCCCTTTTACCTTTTCTTCAATACTTTCTTTTAAGCCAATCTTGTTTGGTCCCTTTTATCCTTATCAAGTCTATCTATCTTCTCCTTCAAAGCTTTCTTCATTCTTAATTACTCCATACTTCAAGATTTCCTTTCAACTTGTTTTTGCTTTTCAACTTGGTTTTACTTTGATCTTACCTTTTCTTTCTAGGTGTTTTCTTTCTTTCTCCTTACCATTTACCCTCCCTCGTCTATCACTTCAATTTCTAGAGTTTTGACACCGCCTTGCTTTGCGCTCGAGTCCGATACCTTCGGTCAGTTATTTACACTATTGCCCCTTTTCGAGTCCAGAGACTAATATTGTGATTATTTATCAGGATATCATAAATTGAATTGTCGCGTCCATTACGAGAAGCTCGGGATAAAAAATATATTACCCCTCATGGAGGGCATGCCATTTGGGAGGCATCAACCCTAAACACCATGAGTCAAGGTGTTTAGGGTTGATGCCTCCCAAATGGCCAGCCATCCGAGAGGGGTTTATTTTTTCAACTGGCCACTAAACTAAAACCTGGTAAACTTCAAAATTTTCTGGTCACGGGAAATTGGAAATGTCGAAATAAGCTGCCCCAAGGAATCGGACGCGAGCGGAGAAGCAAGGCGGTGTCAAAGCCAATGCCCAAAGGAATCGGAAACTTGAAACAGGGCGATCCGTCATTTCCTCCATGTAAAGTGAGGGAAAGCACCATAGAAAGGATGAAGGCAATTGTGTGCGACTTGTGTTTTCCTTCGAGACTGGCGGGGGGAAGCGAGATGGTGCCGGTGGGGGAAGAGGACGCGCAAACTTGATTTGTACGCGCGTTGGTTGCACCAACCCAGGGCTCCCGCAAGAGGACTCCGCAAATTCGTTACCGCCCCCAGATCAAACCAGCAACAGCTGCAAGTCCACCAGACCACCTGCGCCCAGGGGTGGATGAGGGGAAAGTTGCGGAGGTGTGTCAAGTCGAATCCACCTAAACCGGAAGCGGCTCGGTGCCGCCAGGCGAGGCTACCTGGCTTGGCTCGGATGTCTGCGCTAGCGTGTGGCCTGGCCAGAGCAAATTCAAGTTCGTTCATCTTGTCTCGAAGTGCATGTTCGACCGAGGCCCACTCGAATCCAACAGTGCCGGTCGTAACTGGAAACTGCAGCAGGGCTTGAAAAACTCGCTAGTGATTATCCGACACCGCACTATAACCAGTGATGTGTGAATTGACAAAGCTTCTGTACCCAGTGCTCCAATACCTGTCTTGACTAATGATTACTTACATTTCATCCCTCCGCACTAGACAGGAAGGTTGGCACTGATGCAGGAGCTTGATGAAGAGCCTGTCGCAAGACATGTGGATTTGAGGAACAGATAAGGGCTCTTCAGGGCAATGGAGATGTATTCCCCATAATGTAACTACATTCTATAGACATATGGTAAGCTAAACAAAGCTGAACTAACCTAGTAACTCCAGCCAGCTGTACGGTATCTCTTTATTTCCCATCACCCCCAGGTAACCTTCTTGTGCTGGCGTCCTAAGAAGCCCCCTAGCCCCATGATCCTACCCAGCTATCTCGCGCACACGCGCTGGCTGGTGGAGCAGTCCGTCTCGTCATCCAGGCAGTTCCACGCCACGCGCAGCCGGTTTGGCCGCGAGTTGGGGCACACATCCCGCACCAGGGGCGACCCCGTGAACGAGTTGTTCCGCACGTCCAGGTAGAACCCGGGGTCCGCCCCCAAGTACGGCTGCGGCAGAAGCCCGGCAAAGTCATCCCCAATCAACACCAGCCGCGTCAGCGACTGCAGCTCGCTGAACCCCGCGGGAAAATCCTTCCCGTCTCCCAGAGCCACGTTGAGGCCGATATCCAGCGAGAGCAGGTCCGTGAGCAGCGTCAGCTCGTCCGGCAGCGAGCCCGTGAGCAGGTTTGTGTGGAAGTGCAGGTGCCTCAGCGCCGTGAGCGCTGCGAGGTCCGTGGGGACGGTGCCAGTGATGGCGTTGCGGCCGAGGTACAGCTCCTCCAGCGCCACCAGCTCGCTCCACGCGATGTCCTCCAGCGGCGTCGCGATGCGGTTCGCCGCGAGGTTCAGCACCTTGAGCTCCGTGAGCAGCGCGACCTCCGTCGGGAGCTCTGCGAGCAGGTTCCCCCACAGGTCTATGCTGAACACGCCCGCGGCGGACGCGGGGAAGGTGATGGGGATGCTCATGATGAGGTTGCTTTCCGCGGCGAACGTCAGGTTGCCTGGGTCGAGCTTGGGGAAGGCGGGCGGGAGCTCCGTGAAGAAGCAGCCGCTGAAGTCGCTGTATTTGAGCTTCACGAGGTTGCTGAACGACGCGGGCATGGCGCCGCGGAAGTAGTTCGACGACACGTCCAGGTACGCGAGGTTCGTCAGCGCGCCCAGGCCCGCGCCGAGCGGCCCGATGAGCAGATTGTGGGAGATATCGAGGTACGTGAGCTGAGTTAACTTCCAGATTCTGCTCGAGCCGCTCCCGTAAAAGCGATTCAGCTGAAGGTTGAGGGTTTTCAGGGAAGTGAGGGTGGAGAGGACGGTGCCGATTTCGGCGGTGATGCTGTTGTTGTAGAGGCTGAGGAAGGCGAGCTTTGTGAGCACGGAGAGGGACGGCGCGATGCCGACACCTGTGGAGCGAATCATCGCGTTCGCGAGGTGGAGGTGCGTGACGTCACCCGCGCTATTGCACTGCACGCGCTGCCACGTGGAGCAGTCCGCGCCCGCCTTCCACGTGGAGTCCCCCTTGAAGCTGCCGTACGCGCTCTTGGCGTTCAGCATCGCTTTCTGCTGGTACGGTTTTATCACTGCTGCGTTCGCGTGGAGAGGGGAGGACACGAGCAGGGATACCAAGAGGACAATAACAGGAATGTTTCGACCCATCTTGTCAGGCTAGAAGAATTTGTCGACGCAAGAAAGAGGTTGCTTTGACACATCGGCAAAACGGATTATTGGGAATGAAGATAACAAGAACCTGGAACGGAGGGTTGTTTTGTATCTGGGAACGAATTGACGAGAGGGAGGCGCTTATTGCTTGGGGTGCTTCGAGGGGAAGGCATGGATCCCCGCAGGAAGAGGGGGGAACCAGGGGGGTATGGGGCGTAATGGCAGTATGGCATGTATGGACGTTCGATCGGGTTTGACGGCTGCTGGTTTGGCGGCCTCCCGGCCCTGCTGATTGGTGTTTTATTTGCCAGCAAGCTCGTCCGGGACCTTGAAACTGGTTAGGAGTTTCCGAGTTCCCTAAACTGGCACCCCCCAAGTGCGACATTCGGCTCGGACAGCTTGGTTCGGGATTCCCCCGCTGACTCGTGTTTCCAAGCGTGCTTCTATCCACGTATGAATGTGCTGGTGTTGGACTGTCTCACCAGCTGCCTCTGGTGGCGGTGGGGCTGGTTTGGTCAGGCAGAGCCCCCGAACCCAAACCCGACAT